CCTATAAGATATAGATACGTTCCAATTTATTAGGAATCCGATTTCTTACAAGTCGTTCCAATCACAGCCCGACACGTGTCAAGTTTACGGACTACGGCTGATTGAAAGGTTTTCTTCCATAAAATTAATCGATTCTACACTAATCCGACTCAACATTTCCAAAATACGTATATTTTTTCGTAGTTTTATAGGAATCGTAATTATAGGGACCGTAATTATAGGGGGATCGACTGTATATATATAGTATATATTACAAACTTATTTCATTAGTAAAAGTGCATAGTTGCAAAATAATTCATTTTTATTGTTTGGGCTACAAACAGTTCAAATCCGCTACTTTTGGAGCACAACCACACTAATTTTTAACCTTCAGATCTGGCAACATTGCCCTGTATCTAATTGTTCGAGTTTGGGACAGTTCGAGTATCGAGATACCGCCGTATTTAGTTCATTTTTACGAATGATTACTTTCCTACAGTTAAAAAATGTTTAATAACACTTACCTAACAAATAAACTTTACTAAATACGGAGATAATCTATAAAACCAAAACACCGAGTCTTCTAGGCAAAAGTCTGAAAGCAACGACGACGACGACACCTGGTTGATAGAAAAACTAGGATTAGAAAGAAATTACATTATCAGTTTTCATTAAAGAAAAACTGACGAAAGCATAAAACAAAATATTTTAAAATCCGTCGGTAAATTTGAGACAACACACGTGCTTATTTGAATAATAATTTAAAAAATATATATGAAATAATTTTTTAAGTGCAAACTCCATTATGAAATTTTGTAGGAAAGATTTCACAAATTCTCGAACCGTGTTGTACGAGGGATACCTGTACTTTTTATTTAGCATGTGGAAAGTACAGTACAGTCGACCTACCTATAACAATGTTGAGTTTTCCGTTTCATATTAATTCCATGTTGTACGAGTCACTTAGATTTTACAAATACATGTGCCGGGCTGTGAACGGCTCACGTATTTGTAAAATCTAAGTGACTCATACAACATGGAATTCATATAAAACGGAAAAATCAACAGTGTTATAGGGGAGTCAACTGTACACATACACAGTATTAAATTTTTAAAAAAATCAATGAAACAATGCCAACGTTGGTGTATTGAAATAGAATTTTTTTTTTAATTGAAATATTGAAAAATTATACTTTAAAGAAATCCCAACCGAGCGAATTATAATACAATTTTTTAATTTTTTAATATAAAAATATTTATACATGAGATCATGAAAAATATGTATAAATTGGGAGGAGAAGGTTGGACCTTCTGGAAGATTTGGAGATTAGAAAAAAGTAAAAAACGGAACAGCTGTAAGTTTGAAGACACTTTGGAGCCAATATGTAAAAATGTTAACTCATGGTCAATAGTACAGATTTTAATAAAGCAAAAATACTGTAATAAATGTTTATCAGGGTCATGATGGACCCTACTGCTGTAAAATATAGTGCTGAACAGTACCATAACATTTATATATGCTGTATGTACATTTAAAGGTGTGAGAAAACCCAGAAAACTCCCATGTGGCCAGCTCATCCTGGCAACACATAAGCTCATGACCAACCTATCAGTGTTTGGGGAATGAAACCACTTGGCCACTGGTGAGCTGGCATTTAAAAGTACTAAAAGTACAATAACTACATTGGTAAAGTAGTAGTGAATGCCACAAGAAAAATTATAAGGGTTAGGGGTGTCACTATTAGAAAAAGGTTGAAAATTACTGATCCATGTTCAAGAGCCTAATATACATTATATACATATGTATGATAGCAAAAGTTTAATTAGTGTTTTAAACATTAAATTGTTAATGTAAAACATGTTTTTAATCATTATTTGTTGCATTACAATAGTTTAAATTATTGGTATTTGTTACTTTAATTAATACTTAATAATAATTGTCAAGAATAGGCCTATATGACTAAGACAAAACCTTTCTCACTTGTTTCTAGCTGTTTACACACTGCTTACTACTAGAAACAAGTGAGAAAGGTTTTGTCTTAGCCATTTTAAATAGTTCTAGCCCAAGTGCATAGAAGAATAGGCCTATACATATAATTTTTTATTGTTTTAACATGTCTTTTTTTTAATATCATAGTCAATGAAACTAGAATATTCATTAATTGTTTTCTTATTTATTTACCCACTTAATTAATATTATTAGTCAGTTATCGTCAGAACAGACAAGTATCAAAGTATTTACAAGCAGATTCTCTTTTAGTTTGTAAAACAATTCAGTTTCAGAAATTCTGTGATCTTTAATAATTGATGTAATCATATCTCTTATAGCATGAGTTTTTTCTAGCAGATATATTCACTTGAAGTGAAATATACATGAAGAAATATCATTTATTGTACAATATCTTTCATTTAGCTTTTACAAATGAATGTACCTGTACAAGTGGAATTTTTGTATTATGCTCTTGAGAAATGATACCACTTTGAAGCTAAATGTAAACTAGAGGAGACAATAAATTATATCTAGTCAGATATCTTTGTGACGTTCAAAAACATGATTTCACCATATCCATCCATTCTGCTATTTGAAATACTTTTTATCTGTCAAAAAGCTCATGCTAAATGAGCAAACATACCAATACACCAGTTACTAGAGCTCAGATGAAACTGCTTTGTTTACAAAATACTTCCAAATCAATGATTACACAGTATAAATTTTCAAAGGATTGTCTATGGACTCACCACTTTCAGCAATCCTGTAACAACAATAATGCAGTATTCTTAAGAAATTGAGTTCATTGGATTTAATGCATCCAAAATAATTACATATCTCTTTTGGGATATTTCAGCTATATTAATAATATATTCATCTTATAGTTGGCAAGTAAATTTGCTTTTGAATCTTTTGTAAAAATCTTTAATAGTTAAAATATCTTCAGGAAATATGTGATGCATATTTGCAAACATACAGTACATACTGCTTAGTTTAATGGAATAAAATTGTCTCTTCTTTTTGGACTAAAAAACATTAATATTTTTAAATTCTCTATATTTAATTTATAATATGATCACAAAATAACTAGTCAATNTATACCAAAGCTTTTAAAAGATGACATATTGATTTTTTTTTCATTTTGCGACACTCAGCGCTATCACTTTCTTTTTTTTTAATTCTTTTCTCCCTTGGACACTAAGAGGGCCTGTTATAGTAGGACCATTATGGGTTCGGCCAGGCCCACAACGGGGCGGCCGGACGATGAGCGCTGTGGACACTAAGAAAGTAACCTTTTCCAGGCTCATTATGGGTTTGCAGGCCCACAATGGGGTGTGGGCCGGATGGCCAAGCGCTCAAGGTGGTAGCCTACCGCTCGGCCATTAGGATCTTTCTTTACATCTTGCCATACAATTAACTGCATAGCAATTCCTGTTATGCTCCTGTGACATTTCCTGCATACTCGAGTCTAAATAAATAGCGATTATACCAAAAATAGTTACTATAAGTCGGCATACAACAATCTGTCCACAGCGTATGCACTTTTTGCCTTAGATTGTCATGGTGGCACCTAGTTTCTTTGGCTTCAGACGGCGGTGCTAATTGTACTTCAATTTGAAAAAATTGTAGACCAATAAATTCTTACTGTTATTCGTCTATCTTTCCTTAATCTCAAGAACGGAGTTAGAGAGATGAACGTCGGACAGGAGGCCCCGATTAACTATATACGAACTTCCGATGCAAATTGGAAGTTACGTTATTTAAATTCAAAACTTTTTCCCTGAAAGGAATTTTAATAGATGACTGGCACAATTCTATTGCTAACAGGAAAAGTATGATGTACAGAGACAAGACACTACTAATTTGAGGTGGAGAACATATATTAAATTAAATTAGTTTTAAAAATTGCAGCTCGGCATTGTGACGACGTCACAATATATAATTGCTCGTTTCTACGTTAACTTTTTTCCGATTCGTAGTGTAATAGTTATATGTCGTTGGAAATTCTAATAAAATTATTTAAAATGTTAATAAGCAAGTGTTTTGGCATATTCAATACGACCATTCGTGTCGATATTCTTTTAATAGTCCACCAAAACGTGATCTTGTAATTTAAAAATGCCACAACGCATCGTGGATGCTAATTAATTACTACAAGCACGATGCAATTTGATAAAAATATCTGTGCAAAAATAAGTAACAAAATTTTCGTTTTGTGGTCTTATTGAATGTGCCAAAATGCTTTGTGTGCATTTTTGAAAGTGCCACGATGCAAAATTCGCATTGTGGCTGGATCTGAGAAGGCGGAACGAGTTGTGGTCGATTTTTTCGTATATAACATATATATTTATTAATATACCATTGCAATTTTAGGTATATTTTATTGTACTTATGTATTAATAATAAAATACTAAGTTCTTCACAAATATTTTCTTAAATATTTACTTTAAAACTGAAGTAATGTTTGTATTCATAAGTGTTTATAGATAACCGCGTATGGCCGAGCGGTCAAGGTAGCAGCGTACCGCTCTTGGGAATATGTTGGTCCCCTCCCTCACCACGCAGCCGCCCATTGTGGGCCTGGCCGAACCCATAATTGGCTTGCATAAAGAGGCCCTCTTAGTGCCCATACGGAGAGAGTAAAAAATAAATAAAATAACCGCATGTACCGAGTTAGAAAATATAAGGATATAAGAAAAGACCGCAGAAGATCACGTAGGGAGAGGGATGGGTAAAGTAAATTAATTTGGAAAATTTTTTAATATATTGATATTTTTAGTCAATCAATTTTCTTGCAACATAAGTATACGATTTGTATTAAGTGAAAGCGCTACAGGTATAACTCGTATTACGTTCCGAAAAGGTGCCGTATTATTAGAATCAAAGAAGCAAAAGACTAGCGCGAAACGTAGGGTTAGGTTCCAAAGCTAATAAAAGTATATTATTTTACTCGTTAATAAGAAAAATATGTTTATTACAATAATTTATTTCCAATCAATAAGTAATTAATAATCATAATTAAAAGAACTGTATTCGGGGTTAATACTTGGTCAAATAAGGGTTTTTTCTTTTTACAAAGTATCAACTTTTGAGCTGTTTTGTTAATCTTGTTCAGAAATATCAGTAACATTTTCATTTTCTATTTCTTTCATAAAATCTGATATTTCCATTTGATTACGTCTGCATAAAAGTTCGTTATAAAGTTCGTTATATGGAGCCATGCATTTTTGAAGTTCTCTCTTAAATTTTATTCTTCTTTCAATGGAAGGATCTGTATTTAGAAAGTATAGTTCCAATTGTTCGGCCAACCTTATGCCTTCCCGCATGGTTTCTAGGATAAAATTATGATCTTCAGTGTTTTCATCTGTACTATCATCCTCTGAAATAACTTGGTCGATCGCAGATACCATTTCGACCAAATTTTCTTCATCAATCTCTTCTTCCATTATTTCTTCGATATCTTCAAGATTCATATCATCAAAACCTTCCCCTCCTAAAGATTTAGCAAGTTTTAGTATCACTTCGATTCTGTTTTCTGCCGGATCAATTACTCTGAAGTCTTGAACTGACTCTGGCCATAACTTTTTCCAGCAGGCATTTAATGTTACTGGTTTTATTTCTTTGATAGACAAAGATATGAGATTAATACAGTCCGAAATTGTGAATAGTTTCCATGCCTGTACGACTTCGATAGATTCGCCGTCTATTTTATTCACAATCCATTGCAAAAAATGCTTAATGTAAAGAGTTTTAAATGTGGCTACGATTCCCTGATCTAACGGTTGAAGCAAAGAAGCCGTATTCGGTGGTAAGAATATTATTTTAACATTTGGGTGATTTAAATTTTTCGGATGGATTGGGGAATTATCCAATATTAGTAAAACTTTGAAATCCAGATTTTTTTGCTTTAAGTATTTTTCTACATTTGGTACAAAATAGTTTAGAAACCATTTATTAAATAAATCAGCAGTTATCAAAGCTTTTTTATTATAGCAATATATCGGCATGGCATTTTTATTTAAATTTTTCATTACCGGAGGATTCAAGAATTTATAAACTAGCATAGGTTTTACCATGTGATCTCCTGACGCATTACTACACATAAGTAATGTTACACGATCTGTTGATGCTTCAAAACCTAACGCATCGTTTTCTTCTTTTGAAATAAATGTTCTCTTTGGCATTTTTTTCCACCAAAGACTTGTCTCAGCTGCATTAAAAACCTGGTATGTTGTGTATCCTTCTCGTTCAATAATTCGTTGCAATTCTTTTGGAAATTTGGCAGTTTCCCGATCAATTTTCCCTTCTATTTGTATTTGCTGTAATGAGTAACGATTTTTAAAACGCTGAAGCCAACCTCTGCTAGCTACAAAGCTGCGGCTAGTAGATTGCTGTCCATTTTCTCTTAGATAGTTGTAAATTTTTAAAGATTTCTGTTTAATAATATCGGTTTTTATTCGAATTCGTTTTTTTAAACAGTCATCAATCCAAATTTTAAGAGCTTTTTCCATCATTTCAATTATCGGTTCTCTAGTACGCGCTGCCATTTTTGCAGAAATAGAACAACCTGCAGTAACAGAAGCTGTAATTTTCTGTTCACTTCTATGTATGTTCCGGATTGTTGCTTCATTTATATCTAAAGCTTTTGCAACATGTGATACTTTTTCTCCTTTCTTCAGACGATCCAAAATTTGTTTTTTTAATTCCAGTGAAATGAAACGCCTTTTACGAAATAGTCTATTTCTATCAGACATAGTTCAGGGCTACAGCTTAATTAAAAAAAAAAGAGTTAATTAATTAATGTTTTACGTATCACATACATAACACAGATCTGCAAGTAAAAAACTGCATAGGATTTTTATACATTTTCTTATAGATTTCAACTTGGTAACAACGAAAAAAATACCAAACAAATTCCATCTCGTCAATTTTTTTTTTTTTGTTACACTCAAGTTGTTGTTTGTATTTAGCGTAAAATTCCTAGTTAACTTAAAATTTAGTATTCTTTTTTTTTAATGGCCTTAAAACGAAGATTTCTCACATTAATTCTATCAATTATAACTGGACTTGGCAATAAATAAATAAATAAATGTTAATGGTTGAAGAGAGTAGTGGTAGAGGGAGGTGAGTTAAGTAGTTTTAGCGTTAGGAGGAAGATCACATGATCGTTTAGAAACAGGTTAAAAGTTGATGGTGAGTAATATTACTGGTTAGGTTGAGCATGTTTCGATATGTTATCTGGGATACTAGAAATAAATATAAACAACCTGCTGTTGGATTAGATCATGTTTCAACAAGCTAAATAAGTTCAGTATCTCGCTGGCCATCTAATGCCGCATTCAGTTTATATCCAGCATTTGAACGTTACTGTGCTTGTATTTTTATTTCTGGAATATGGCTCGCAGTGGTTGTATAATTTCTCCCGACAGCTTCTGTTATGTTTGCGGTGAATGCACAGTGAAAAGTCAACATCCCCTTTATCTGATCCCCTCTTTTTAGAAACAATGGGAGAAAAGGAAAAAGAAGCATGGGACTCTTTCAAGAATGTAGTGATAAGTTTTGGGGAATACTAAAGACACTGACTACAAAACCATTGTACAACGCATGCTGGCAGTGTATGAAGCTCAAGGATGCAAGATGAGCTTAAAAGTTCATTTCTTACACTCCCATATTGACTATTTTCCCGAAAACTTGGGAGCCTATAGTGAAGAACAGGGTGAAAGATTTCACCAGGATGTCCGTGATATCGAGAGACATTACCAAGGAAAATGGGATGTCAATGTGTTAGCTGACTACTGTTGGATGCTCAATCGAGAAACCAGAGAAGGAAATCGGGAATGAGTTCGGAGAAGCATCAAAGAGAAGAAAAGGTGTCATAAGAAAAAAAAGTAGACCTAAAATTGTGTACAAATATCAGAAACAATTTTTTGATTAGTTGTAAGAAAATATAATATATTTAGTTCATTGTAATAAATAAGAGTATTTATCAAATATTTTTGTTTTTATTTTGCAAAAAACCCATACGTGATGAGATATTACGGAAGTAATTTTTAGAATCTCCGATCTTTAAAACATATAATTCAACAAAAATATCCAATGCAGCTGGAAAATTTTTTTTTGCAGACCTGTGTAATTGAAATGCAGTGGTACATCGTTACTCGAACTTTATTCGTTCTACAAGGCTGTTCGAATACCGAACAAATTTTTCCGATAAGGAATAATGTAAATTAGATTAATTAACGTGTCACTTATCTTTATCATAAAAGTTTTTATAGATGACATAATAAAAATAAAAATGTGCTATTAATTAGAAATTAGTTCTAGCATGTAGCGTGTTCAGTCAAGTACCGAGCGATTTTTACATTTTTTGGACTCAGAGGACCTTGAAACGTCGAGAAATGCAAAAAAAAAAAACCCGAATCCACCGAGAGGGTGAACAAAACCGTTCACCCTACACGGGTGCACGGTTTTTGTTCACTTTCTTTGAAGCTTAATAACTCCCAGGCCCGCCGTAAGCGGGCGTGCAAGGCGTGCACCGCACGCGGGCGGCACGTTCAGGGGGGCGGCAAATCGAGCGATCGGTCACGTAATATTCAAAGTCATTGTCATAATACCCACCCTACTTATAGCATAAGAAATATCTTCGCATGGAAAAAAAAATCCGACCGNAAAATAGGAACATATAAAATTTAAACCCAAACAAAAATTTTAAAAATTGAAAAGAAAAAATAATCAATAAAAATATTACGCTAATAAACTGTAATTGTAATACATTAAAAATTGACCAAGTCAGATTTCCTAGTGATTTTCATGCAGTTGCTAAAGGACCTCCACTTCAACAAATGACATCAGGCAAATCTGCTATCAGACAAACTGCCTCAAAAAATTAAACACAAGTATGCAGTCGACAAGAAACTGGACAATACAGACCTAGCACCATACACTTAGCCAACATGAGGTACAGGTTAAATGGGATGAAGTTAAAATTGTTAGACCCATCAATGACTTAATTCCCTTAATTAAACATGTTAGAGATATACAAAGCTAATAGAAATAACAGCTGTATTAACTACCATGATGCAGACTTTTTAGCAACTGCATGAAAATTTTGTTTTACACAGTACATGCTGACAAGTAATACCACATAAAATAAGACCATGCTGTAGATAATTTTCAAATTAATTCCTTCTTTTACAAATCTCATTTATATATAAGACACTGAATTATTTAAAGACTGCTTACAAGTTAAAGCATATACTCTTAATACACTCTTAAGTTTAAACTTCATGACTGAATATGAAGAGTGAAATAGTCTCAAAAATAAACACATACTGTTATTAAATATTATGGTTTGTTTTTGAGTTGAATTTAGTGAAAATGAATTAATTGAGAAACTGCTAATAAAATATTAATTTTTTTTCTGTTTCATTATGAATATATCAAAAGAAAAAGTAATCTTTCATTTATACCTTTCAATTAAAAGTCTTTCATAAAATCAAAATGAATATTTAATATTAAACTGTGATTATTATTTAACCTGAATTATATAAAAATCAAAATTTCAGGTAATATTTTTAAAATAATTTATAGTTTTCATTGAGACTTTGTATTGTTAACTGATTAAAATATATCTTTAATTATGACACAACCCTCTTTATCTCCCCACCCCGTCAACCTTTAACCACCAAAATTTAATAGCATCCATCTCCTAATACACAAACCACCTTGCAAAATTCAAAAATTTTCGATAAAAAGCACAGGAGTTATTAAGCTTCAAAGAGGATGAAGAAAACTGTGCCCCCAACACACACACTAACATCCATACATACAGAAAAAACCCCCAAATTTTTTTTCATTTCTCAATATTTCAAGGTCCCAAGTCCAAAAATGTAAAAATCTTTGGGGTCATTTTTTGACCAATTGCCATACAGGGAAAGTAAAATGGAACTTATTCAAAATGCACTGATTGCAATGATATTTGGAAAACATTCAGATTCAAATCTTTGACATGAAGATCCATGGAAAGGACAAAAAACATTAGTCTTTCTGTCCATGATTATTTACTGGAGTTAGTTTTGGTTCTACAAGGTGTTTTGATTCTGTATATTTACACTCTAGTCTGAAGAACTGTTGTAAGTAGAATAAGTTTGTCCTCAGAAATGCAATAATGAATATATATTCAGTACTGTTTATTTGAGTCTTACTATACAGGGTGTATTTTTTATCTTGAGACAATGAAATAACTTAATTGGATTTCATTATTTTGGGAAAAACGTATAGACAAAAGTTGTAGGGTTTCGAAGGGCCAATCAATTGGTGACCTTGGCCTTGACCTTCAAGGTCATTTGAGGGTAAAATCTGTTTTTTTCAATGGAAACACACATTTTTGATCCCGGCAATGGAAAAAGCGGGAAATTTCACAACCGGATATACCTTTGAACTTAGGTCAAAGGTTGAGATTATTTTAAGGTTTAAATTATAAGCTTTTTCTAATGGGAAATTATACTTTTTATTACTGGAATAGACAGGGATGTAAAAGTTACATTTTTTCATGACCTTATTACTTTGACCTTTAAGAGGATTCACTACTTTTAGCACTACCTAGAAGTAACGATGTGGATGTAGTAGTTTTCTGCTCCCTTTGATGTGCTTATTTTCAGTAAGTCCCCTTGCATCTCACTATCACAGTGCTTGTTTTCAGTAAGTCACTTTACTTCTCACCATTGCTTGAGATGTTGGTTTCAGGGAAAATTTTATAACAAATGTTCAAAATGATTCCATTGCACTTCGATGCATTTGTTGAGCCATGCTTAAAACTGTCACGCTTGAGATGACCTTCAGAGGTCAAATTTGGGGTACTGAAGGTCATGGCTGATTGTGAAATTTCCCACTCTTTCCATGTAAATGTAATCTCTGTTAATCTCTATACTATAGACCTATATTCTGTGTTGTTATGAGTAGATTATATATATATATTTTTTTTTATCTATNAAGAATAGGCCTATACATATAATTTTTTATTGTTTTAACATGTCTTTTTTTTAATATCATAGTCAATGAAACTAGAATATTCATTAATTGTTTTCTTATTTATTTACCCACTTAATTAATATTATTAGTCAGTTATCGTCAGAACAGACAAGTATCAAAGTATTTACAAGCAGATTCTCTTTTAGTTTGTAAAACAATTCAGTTTCAGAAATTCTGTGATCTTTAATAATTGATGTAATCATATCTCTTATAGCATGAGTTTTTTCTAGCAGATATATTCACTTGAAGTGAAATATACATGAAGAAATATCATTTATTGTACAATATCTTTCATTTAGCTTTTACAAATGAATGTACCTGTACAAGTGGAATTTTTGTATTATGCTCTTGAGAAATGATACCACTTTGAAGCTAAATGTAAACTAGAGGAGACAATAAATTATATCTAGTCAGATATCTTTGTGACGTTCAAAAACATGATTTCACCATATCCATCCATTCTGCTATTTGAAATACTTTTTATCTGTCAAAAAGCTCATGCTAAATGAGCAAACATACCAATACACCAGTTACTAGAGCTCAGATGAAACTGCTTTGTTTACAAAATACTTCCAAATCAATGATTACACAGTATAAATTTTCAAAGGATTGTCTATGGACTCACCACTTTCAGCAATCCTGTAACAACAATAATGCAGTATTCTTAAGAAATTGAGTTCATTGGATTTAATGCATCCAAAATAATTACATATCTCTTTTGGGATATTTCAGCTATATTAATAATATATTCATCTTATAGTTGGCAAGTAAATTTGCTTTTGAATCTTTTGTAAAAATCTTTAATAGTTAAAATATCTTCAGGAAATATGTGATGCATATTTGCAAACATACAGTACATACTGCTTAGTTTAATGGAATAAAATTGTCTCTTCTTTTTGGACTAAAAAACATTAATATTTTTAAATTCTCTATATTTAATTTATAATATGATCACAAAATAACTAGTCAATTTCAAGCATTCAATATAACAGAAAATCACAATAATAAATAGTGAATTTTTACTACAAACTATATCATATAATTTAAATAATGTTAATTAAATGAATAAGCTTATATTATTGTTTAAAAATATAACATGATCAGAAAAACACAAAAAACAACTTCCAACAACTTGATACTGCGTTGATAAATAACAATCCACAAAACCTTTTTTTACAAGTGTTATGTCCATAACCAACTCTACAAACACTTTCGACCTCCACCGAGGTCTGCTTCAGGTAGTGACTGACCGGTGGAGGTCGAAAGCGTTTGTGGAGTTGATTACAGACATAACACTTGTAAAAAAAGGTTTTGTGGATTGTTATTGATCAGAAAAAATTTTGCTACAAGAGAAACTAAAATACAGTATTTGAAAAAAATGTCAAATAATCAACTTTCATTTAGATCTTTCCCATTATACAATATATCCATATAAATTAATAACTCAAATGTAAACTTCACAAATAAAAACACATCAAATCAAATACATTCAGTTTATTGTTAGCCGTAATAAACTTAGATCATTGTTGAAATTTTTTTTAACTTTGCTAGTCATTTTTAATAAATCCATCAAACATTTCTATGTTGATTAAGGTGATAGATTTGCATAAGATCCTATATATAATTTCTTCTTAACAGTTAAAATGTTCTTATTCTTGTAATACAAAATATTTTTCTTTTGGGATTAATTTAAAAAGTTACAAATTATCTCTATATTCTCACAAAGTCCTACTTTTAAATATGTAAGGGCAATATTGTACAATACCCTTTAATACTGCATATTCAATAAAAATCTGCAGGAATGTACAATATTTTAATTACTGTCATATTCTTAATTAATCATTTCCAAAACAAAACTTTGATTATTTTATTAATAATAAAAACCCCATCAAAGTTGAAAACAAATTACAATACTTGTATATTGAATTGTTGGATAATATACTGGCAAAACATAAATGTGTATTCATTTTATTCTTAAAATAGAAAAGGGAAAACAATGTTGAACAAAAGTAAGCCATTTTATTTTAAACAAAAAAACTTAAGTTTTTTTTTTTAACTTGGCTAAATCAAAACTTAAAATACCTATGCATTTTTACAAAGTGATCAGCTACTGTAATGTTAATTAAGGATACTTTTCTGTTCCTCAATCATATTTAATAATAGCTTAAGAATCAAGATTATTGTTTAAACATTATTTAAAATCGTACTTTCTAATATTTTCCACTACTACTTATTTTCTTCTTCCTTTCCCCTTTTGGAGGTTATAACCTCTCACAACCACACCCTATGTTAAATTACTTTTACACTCGAAAAGCGGTAAACAACACGTGCGATTACGTCGCAACGCGAGTAAAACGAAGTCACATGATCGATATTTGATATACCATCTTCATCGTGCAATTCTAAAGATAAAACATTATTGACTAAATATAATTTAAAATAAAAATACTTTTTTGGGAGAACATTTTTAATTTACAAAAATTATAATAAAAATAATAGACTATGCAGATGACGTATTATGTGTAAATGACGTTATATCTGATTAGACGATTCTTACGTCAGATGAAGAAAATTAACCAATAACGTTTCTGAAAATATTTGTCGGCTGCTAACTAATACTCACGTGATTTGTTTATCCTCGAATCCAGTTGATAATGTAGATACGGCGCCATAACAATAAACATTACCGTATGCATTGATCGTGTAGGGAATTCCTATATTTAAATAATCGAAAGCAGTTAAAATGTCAAATCAGCAATGTAAAATAACAAATAGCTGTCAGATTCCAAGTCGTAGAATTGTTATTAATGATGATGCACAATTACCTGTTGATTACAGTTCTACCCCTGGTGGAACCATCTTCTCTACAACTCCTGGAGGTAATTATTTAAGTTTATTTAAACTGAATTACTAAATTATGTGTTGTGTCTATTAAATGCCATGCTAGATCTTTTAATTCTAAATTTTGTATTAAATGTGAATCACACAGTTAAACTTGTTTAAAATAGTATGATTTTTTTTGTAAATTCAATTTGTTGTACATAAAATATTAATATTTATAGAATTAAAATTTCTGTTTATTTTCTTGAAATAATTTAAATTATTACTTTTAAAATGTAACATATGTAATGTTGAAATCATGAAATAACAAAAATATGTATTTTTTTTTTTTAATTTGTTAGAGTTTTTTTATGTTTTTAATGAATTATATTATAAAAACAAACAATTTGAAAAGTTGTATAAATTTGAACTAATGAAAGATTGATTGATTTAGTAAACTGCATGAAAGATTATTATTTAAATACGATTATTGTCAATTGAGAAATATCCCTCTGTTTACTACTGTTTTAAAGTATTGTTATTACATCAGCATGTTTAATTAATTCATCAACTTTTAATTAATATAAAAACCTGGCTTTCTAAACAACAGATAAGGTCAATAGATATATTATGAAATACAAGGTTAGATAAGTTCTTTGCATCTGCTTTGAATATCTGAAGAATGCCGCTGTTTTATTTGTAATTTAACAGAAAGATGTTTATAATTTGATATTTTACATCATTTTTATTTATTTATTTAATAGAAATTTAAAATTAAACAGTCATAAAAATCACTTCTAGNTGTTGAATATTTCTGAAATTTTGCATGGAGGTTCGTGTATTGGAGATTAATACTATTAAATTTTAGTGGTCGAAGTGTGGGGAGATAGAAAAGTTCGTGTCTTATCTCGAGTAGGGTCGGACATAATGACGATTTTACTCGTTATTAGCATTTAGTTTTCTTTCTTTTTTTTTATAAAACCCATCCCTACCCTAAAAATTAAGCGTTTTGCCATTTTATAATAATCAAAAGTATAAGATTTTTTAATAAATTATCATAACAGATGGTGCCACATGCAGTTTTAAATGTCGCCGGGAAAGTTAAGCAACTCTTTGCTGGATTTTTTTTTACCAGAATTTGTGTGTTCGAATACCGAATCAGGGTTGCGATCTGTACGATAATTATCGTATTTGTATAATTATTTTAGGTGCCGTGCGAAGTACGGTACAGTACGTTAATATTTTTACGGTAAATGTAACGGATCGAAATGGCTGTACCATAATTTTAAGCGAATTGCTCTAATTTCAAGGGACAACCGCAATGATTTTCTCCCTAAGGTTGGCAATCCTGTACTTTGTTGCCAGATTGGGCTACTTTTTACGTGCCCTCGCTACAAAAATTTCAAATTGGGCGACACGCTACTTTTTGGGCTAGTGATAATTATCTTCAGGCTACAAATCTTAAAAATACGCTACTTTTTTATTTTCATATATAAAATCGCAAAACATTTATTGTATTATACAAAATTAACAAAGTTTTATTTAATTTCATTACACTTAATTGTATAAATAAAGTTGCAACGTTTAACAAAGATAAAGATACTTTTCTTCCGTTTTCCATCCGTCGTTCGCTCCAGAGACAATCCACAACTTTACAAGCACAGAGGCGACCTTGCTTGTGAAATTGTGGATTGTCTACTGGAGCGAACGACGGATGGAAAACGGAAGCAAAGTATCTTTATCTTTGTTAAACGTTGCAACTTTATTTATACAATTAAGTGTAATGAAATTAAAAGTATTACCGTCGGCCATGTTTTTATATTTTTTATTTTACTTAAAGTTTTGTTTGTTCAATATTTGTATTTGCAATGAACGATAGTTTTACTAAAACGTAACATGTTCGATACTCTTTTAATTCTTTAGTACTTAAACGAGAATTAAATGAGTATCGAACTTGTTACGTTTTAGTAACTTTAGATCTGGCAACACTAGACATTTGTTGAGTTCGCACCGTTACTACCAATTTTTAGTTGACTTTGATGCATGAATGACAGCATTATCCTGTTCAAATTGCCAATTTTCTCTCCCAATAAGTGATCCAAAATTTATTAAATTTTGATACAACAGTTCTTGATACAATGGAAATAGGGGGCCTTAAAACTGAAAACAAAAGCCACAGTCGCTAAGTCTCTAAGTTCAAAAAATGAATCGCCTCGCCTGCGAATGACTCGCTTTGATTTAGAGAAATTGATACCGAATGTCCATATATATATATACAGTCGACCCCCCTATAAGATATAGATACCTTCCAATTTATTAGGAATCCGATTTCTTACAAGTCGTTCCAATCACAGCCCGACACGTGTCAAGTTTACGGACTACGGCTGATTGAAAGGTTTTCTTCCATAAAATTAATCGATTCTACACTAATCCGACTCAACATTTCCAAAATACGTATATTTTTTCGTAGTTTTATAGGAATCGTAATTATAGGG